CGTTATCAAACTCATGTCATAGAAGTGGTAAAAGACATGTGTGACAACTGAATGGTATCCTTTTGTAAAGTTTTTGGCCAGGGGTGGGTAATTATTTTCCAATTTATATTTGAGGTTGGGTAATCAATTTTTTGTCTTTTTAATGGTTGGGTCAGCAAAATTTTTGCCACGAAAAACATTTCTCTTCGGTGCCACCCCCCACCATAAATAATGACCGGTCCCTTAAATCTTGATATCTTAACGATTTATACTAGAAACGGTTTGTACTAGAAACGGTTCATTTGTAAAGACGGACCTACTCACACAAGCAACCTCGTAGCCATGGGTACTATGTTGCATGCTCATGTCGCTTGCTAACAATAAGCCAACCTCGTTCCCAGGCTTTTCCCTGTTGTGGAGGAGAGAAGCAAAAGACAATAAGCTTGACAGTACGCTTGGTATATAAGTTTTAACATTTTTAATATTACAAAGACTTGCTTCTATTTTAAGCAAATGAAGTTGACATATATAATGGTCATCAAGACCATATGTCAAGACTTAAGTGCTAATTAATTAATGAAGTAGTTAGTTAAGCACTAATAGGCAATTCCAGCTTTTAGTTTATGCGTGCAGGGGGAATAGGAAGTAAGGAATCATATTGCTGATTATGCTGAAAAAAATAAAAATGGTGGGCGTGTAAACATGGAGTGATAGCTTATACTTGTAAATATTGAAATATTTTGGTTGTTTCGGCAGTTTTTATTGAAATTTTTCAGCAGAATCAGCAATATGATACCATACTCCCTGTCACCTCCTGCACACATAAACTAAAAGCTGAAATTGCCTATTAATGAAGTAGTTAAGCACTAATTAAGTAGCACAACAAGCACATGTAACATTTTATCATTTTATACCACGCTAGCGATAAATATTCTGGTGTACAGTATCATCAGAGTGGCTTACTAGCATGCTTTTTTTGATAAGAATAATCGTTCGCATTTAACAATCCAATGTAACTGTGCTGTAACGTGGTTTGTTGATTGACTTCGAATGTATTTATAAAAATTCTCAGAAAATAACTTTTTGATCGGTAGAAAACCAATAACATCCTTTCCTGCTGGCTTGCTCGTCAAAACCTCCAAAACTTTTTCCATGTGGGCAAGTAGGGTTGTGGCTTGATTTGCATTGAGAAAACCACGACATACTAAGAACTGTTTCGATGTAGGACAGAACTTCGGGTTTATCAATGCGATTTCTTTGAACAGCAAATGTAGAATATAAATAATTCCAACAGTGAACTGAGTTAGTGTATCAGACACCTCAAGTACAAGACAATCGCCTTGTTGGAGCAAGCGTAATGCGTTCACACATTGGCTTAGGAGGAAAGCCTTACTGGATATTTCATCGTACAAGGAACGCTCTACCGGTTGACATGACTTGAAAAAAGATCCTAGTATCATTCGAGTTTTGGTGTAAGATTCACTGGTGTAGGTTGCATTATTAATGGCCAAGCATTCATCGCTAACTATTCTTCCACCAATTTCCTCACGACCAAAACTTCTTAACTTTTCCACTTCGCTTGCATTTTGACTTGAACAATTGTCAATGACAACCCTTTGAAATCCAGCACCGTTGCACTGTACTGCACAGTTCTGACACAACACTGCAAGACATTGTTCAGGATAGAAGACACCGCTCTCCACCAATTCCGAAACATAACGACCATTCCCGGAGATATCTAGTATAAAGCCAGGTCTGGATTCATTGCTCAATAAACCACACCTCTGTAGAACAGCAAGAATGTTTAAAGGACTCGAACTTTGACCAAGTTCACGAGATTTTTGTTGAGATAGAAATTCCAAGGTTTCAACAAGTTCTTTCCCTTCATTAGTATGAAATATTTTCGCGTTTGTTCTGGCGTCGTTCAGTTCACTTATCAAGGTGGCAAGACAGAATCTTGAACTCTGAATCACTCGGATAGTTTTGCCAAGATCAATATTCCAGTGCTGTACATCTGATGTGTGTCCACCTTTCAGCCACTCAATCGACTCAACTACAGAAAAGAAAAATTCGAAAAGTGTTTCAGCTAAAAATGTCTTTGTAAAACGTCAGTTCCAAATTGCGCTTTCATCGTTTGTCAGCTATCAGAAGATATTGTGAAAGATGTTAGTTCCAATTTCAGGGATGGATCCAGCATGGTCTGGTAGGGGGGTGCTCCGCCAAAAAAATTTTCGGAAAGCAACAACCTCCCCCCCCATCGACAACTTTTTAGGGAAAAAAAATTTTCCGGACAACTACGTTGCAATTGCTTTCCAGTGACTTTACACATCCATCAACTTGCTTAACCACTGCAAAGTCTAGCTACAGTATTTGAATTGTAATTGTTGTTCACAGTTCGCTTATCATCATGTTATTACTCAAATTACTGAATCTCATTTTGTCTCTGATAATTTTTTGCTTTATCATGAAAAATAGCACCCCCCCTGCACCCCTCCTGGCCAGGGCTAGGGGGGTGTGCACCCCCCCGCACCCCCCCAGTAAATCCATCCCTGGTTCCAAATAAGAAAGCGGCAGATTTGGTAGGGATACAACTACTTGAAAAATACAAGGAGAACTTCGACGTTTTGAGCGAAGGCGCTTCATTGGGAAGTTCGTCGAAACGTGGAAATTATCCTTGTATTTTCCAGGTAGTTATATCCCTACCTTACACTGGCACAGGCTCTTTCAGTTCCAAATAGCCGTTGCATCATTTGTCAACTGTCATCGGTATATTGGTCTGTCTCTAGTTGAGATCCGTCGGAATGAACTCAACCATCACTTAGGAACACAATTAATATTGGTCTATAAGAATACCTGAATGAATTATTTCATGCACAAGTGCATCTTCAGTAACGAAGGAAGGCATTTCATCTTGTGGCAAAACAACTCGTTCGTGCCATCCCAGTTTAGACATTGCAATCCTATCAACATAGGAGCCTGTGTGATGTATGCCTGAGTTACAGTATGTCTCCTGTCTGCTTTCTGGCCAGTAGCTCAGCTGTGTCCCATCCAAGTGTACATGAGGCACAACAGAGTATCCTTGCTCTAAGCTCTGGACATTAAAACGATGTACAAACTCTTCCGCCAAATATTTCCTGAGTTTATTCAGGAACTTCCATTTTCCTTTCGAGAAATGATCAAACAATTCAATGTTTCTATTTATAGCATTGGTTTGAAATTCAGAGAATGTTTTGGCACAGGTTATAACTTTTTCTATGAAATTTTCTGGTAGATACTCGTGGGGAAATAGGGCTTTCTCAGGGGTGAGGGAGGTGTAGTAGGTCTGTACTTTTTCTAAGAGATCTTTGGACAAATATGCAGGGCCAGCAAAGCAAGTGCAGACGCAATAAACTTCTGAATTTCCTGGTTTACTTGTTCCTGAAGTAAAAGAAACAAGAAAAAAATAGAATTTGTTTATTTACTCTGAGAAGGAAGCTGAAGGAAGGGGGTTAACTTAACTTTATTAATACTGGTTAGCTGTTCTTCCTATTAGGGTTATTCCATACTGTTTCAGTGCCATATATTACACAAGGAAACTACCTGTAGTGTTCCTGAAGGAAATCTGTTGTTTGGTAGAGTCAGACTGGGAGTATTATTCTTACAGGGGGGGGGGCATATATACTATATACCACTACATTGCCACAGAGTTTGGACAAGATGTACCTGGTTTAATAATTTCAACCTCTTCAAACAAACAGCACAAAAGGAAAAGAATGGCAACAGTGTGGTGCTCATACATTGTGAACATCTTCACGATCAAGCTTCCTCCATCGGCAAGACTAACAAGTGCCGCTACAACCTCGCAATACAACAACTGACCAATCACAATCTCTTGTTTGTCAGGTTCATCTGCACAATTTATACTACCATCAGCTGTCACCTAGAGTTGGGCAATAATATAATGGGTGAATTTTCATACAAATCATCAGTAGTGAGATCTCTATGTAACTGGAGTCATATTACACAATTCCTACCACTTACAATATCGACCTTCCCAGCACCCCCTACTGCCTGAACCAAACACTTCAGATTATCCCACTGCATTAAATCACCATCGCAGCTCTCACCAAAATTCCAATGACCCAAAGTCTCGATTATAAACCGTTCCCCGGAGATCATTCTTTTCGTATCGTTCCCTTCGTAGAACGGATTAAGAGTGGACGCAAGCCATTCCCAGTGTACGCCTTCAAAATTACACTTGATATGATGGTTTAAACTTGCAATAAAAGCACCTGGGGCTTCGCAAAGATGTAAACTGGTTAGCTTTTGATTGTCAATGCATTTTGGGGGAATAATATTGCATGAACTTAAAATTTCATAAAATTTAACCCAAGCTTGGGTGCATAGCTCGGGCTTTACTGCCTCGCGTAAATGTTTTACCACTAAACCACATGGGTTAGTTTTACTTGTATGTCTCCGCCATTTTTCAATGTCTTTTGAGTTCAATAAATTCTTGGTTGTGTTTAGACTGTTTTTTATCGCTGTTAAAGGCTCAATAGCAAAAGGTGGTGTTGAAAATATCGCATTAGCTTCTGGGAGAGAGTATTTGTCAGTTTTTGACTTCAGTTTGTATCTTTTGTTAAAAATACTTTCAGCTTTCTCGCGAATACCTTTTGTTTTGGCCGCCATGTTTTCACGAAATTATCGAGGTCTCTCCCCCCGTTTGTAGAGATGAAAATAAATTTTAATTTTCCAGAAATAATGGTTCGAAGAAAGGAAGGGTTAAAACAACTGCACTTATATTTTAAATAACATATTGAAAGTTTAAATAATTATTTGATAATGTTTTCCCAAAGTTTTATTGGATTAATTTAACATTTTCATCAATGGGTGTATTAAAACTTCAAGTGAAAATCGGGGGGGGAGGAGTATTCAGGTTGTTATTAGAATACAGAGTTTCAGTCGATTTGAAGCATGTTTAGTTTAAGCGATGAATTTTGCTGCAAATTTCGCAAAAGCGTTGTTGAATACTTTCCCAGCTTTGAACTTAACAGAAAGTGTTTTAAATGAAGAAATTTTAAATGTACAGACAAAATGTGGACACATATTTGTTTACCTTCTTGATGAATGTTGTCAAAATTTATATCAAGATGAACTGAGTACAGCTTTATCATCAAGCCAGGCTGTAATAGATCTCACGTGGGAGAAAATCAACACAGGTTATTGGAAAGATGTTGATATAGCATGGAGAAAATTATACTCTTTTGCAACAATTGTAAGAACTTTGGTTCTTTTTAAAATGGACAAACTACCAGAGACAATTAAGACTTGTGATTTAGGATTGTTGTTAGGTAGCCCTGTTTTGGATAATGTTTTGACAAAAATTGTTGCCTGTATTCAAGAAAAAATACGACATATCGGTGGCAACAAGTTGACATTGAACAAATTTGAAAATGAAGTTGAACAACCTCGGAGTTATGGAATAAACAGCGACCACTCTGGCAATGATGGTATAAATTTGAAAACACCACCATTAACAGAATGTCACCAGTTGATTGAGAATTTATCTAACGACTCACATTCATGTTCACAGACTAAACGAGCAAAGATAACTTGTAATAACGAGCAAAATATTGAACGTATATTGTGCCCAAGTCTGAGTAAATTTCAAAATGAATTTATGGATAACGAGGTACCTGTTATATTACAAGGGATAATGGATCATTGGCCTGCGAGGGGTTCTCGTCAGTGGAGTTTTAATTATCTTCAAGAAATTGCTGGCGATCGAACAGTACCAGTTGAAATTGGGTCTCGTTATACCGATGAATCATGGACACAAAAATTAATGACCATTAACGAGTTCGTTAGTGGTTACATATCAAACAGTAACGATGGTAAAAATGTCGCATACTTGGCTCAACATCAATTGTTTGATCAAATTCCAGAACTTGCTAACGACATCGTTATTCCGGATTATTGCTGCCTGGGTAACGATGATGATGCTGATGTTATTGTCAATGCATGGTTTGGTCCAAAAGGGACGGTATCACCCTTACACCATGATCCCTACCATAATCTACTGGCACAAGTTGTGGGAGAGAAATATTTACGGATATATTCAACAACTGAAACTGAGAAACTTTACTCACATGACTCATTTTTGCTGTCGAACACCAGTAAGGTAAGTAATAATGATATATGAAATGACTTAGTGGTCCAGTGTAGGTAATATTCAACAATAAGCTGCCGTGGTTTGTGTCTGAACTACCTGAAAAAGATATCTCAAACATGGTGGTCCAGTGTAGGTAGTATTCTACAATAAGCTGTCGTGGTTTGTGTCTGAACTTCCTATAAAGGACTGTGGTTCAGAAGACACAAACTGCAACATAGCTTATTCATAATTTTTCTTTGTAAAGGTTGACATTGAGAATCCTGACTTAGCAAAGTATCCACTGTTTGAAACTGCTGACTACAAGGAATGCATTCTGAAGGCAGGAGAGATGCTCTATATTCCGAGGAAGCATTGGCATTTTGTCAAGTCACTATCGGTTAGTTTTTCAGTTAGTTTTTGGTGGTCGTAATTTCATGTCATGCTTGCAACAAAATGATAAACAACAATCAACATTGGACAATTGGAGTGTAATGAATCATAATTATAAGGAAAACATATGCATTATCCCCACCCTCCCAGTATAATGCATGTATTAGTGCAACCATCTGTGAAACTTATATTCGCCCACCATTGCAATGTCAATGTATATTTATGCTTTTTCAACTGAAGAGCCATAATCATCATTCTGCTCAGAGCCCAGTAATGGCGATGACTGTCTGTTCATTTCATCTTCTAACATCTTAGCCCGGTTTGCATCCCACTTCAACACAAACAGAGTCAACAAAAATAGCACAGAGCTTGCAAGATATAACCCAGGATACAGTAGATATAGTGCCACGCGTAAACTTCCTGTAGCCTCCTTAAGAGGCGGCACAGCCAAAGGCATATTTCCGCCAATTATGCTAATTATGAATAGGTAGTAAGCCACAATCGATGTTCGTAGGGCTTTCGGGACAAGTTCGACTACGACTGTCAAGGCGACACCTATCCACATTTCTCCAATGATATTGGCGACGATGAGACTTAGAAAGCAATAAGGAGGATGAAGGAATAAGGCCCCAGCTGCAAACGGCGCTCCAATTAGCTAAAAAAAAATTAAACATTAACTTGGTTTAGACCAATTTAGACTACACAACTTTTGCCTAAAACTGTAGCGTGCAACCTGCTTACAATTTGACTGTGTAAATCAACATACAGCTTGTCTATGTTTTCGTCCAAATGCAATTTTATTACAACTTACGACGTGTTATTTCGATGCGCAGAACAACACCTACAGTCACAAACAAATACATTGTATACTGTTTGTGGTTGTTGGTGACTTGGTGTTTTGTACTCAGGTGAATATGATGTTTGTGGTGTTACTCTGAGTGTGCATCCACAAAGTTTGAAAAGTTTGCCTGACCACGGCGGGTTCAATTCCCAACCTGGTCAGCAAACTTTTCAGCTTGCCCGGTGTGGATGCACACTCAGAGTAACACTACAAACAAATACAATGCATCTTTCTTACCTGACTGAAAACCAGCACCCATACCCGGGCATAAAGACCTCGGTTTTTGATGACCTGGTCGGAGATTACACCCCCGAGAAGGACACCCATTGAGCCGCCAACCAGAGGTATCCAGGACATCCAGTAGCCTAGGTTCACATCGGGATAATACTTCTCAAAGTAAGGTTGAGTGTTGTATGCCCATACATATCCACCTGCATTCCTTATTGACCCTGCTAGACAGAGGATGAGTAAGGAGGGACTAAGGAATATTTTGACGACGTATGACATGCCACCTTGTTTTAACGATTTCTGAAAGAGAAGTAAACGAAGTTGAGGCAAAGGATTTGTGCATGGTCAGCCCGAGTCAAATTGGCGGATGACTGCAAATCAGAATGGAGGGATATTCCAGCAGGTGTTCCACAGGGGACCAAGTTGGGGCCGTGGCTTTTTCTACTAATGATCGATGACATTGACATCGCTAACACTGATATGTGGAAGTTTGTGGACGACACCACTATGACCGAGTGTGTGGAGAGAGGCAATGCGAGCACGATCCAAATGCAGTGACTGAGTTCTCAGATAAGGCTCATGCTAACAAGTTCCAAATGAACGAGGCAAAATGTAAAGAGCTCAGGATCTCATTTGCTAGGACCAATCCCCAATTCGATTCGGTGATGGTCAATGAAAAGCCACTGGAGATTGTTCAACACGCAAAGCTGCTGGGCCTGAATATATCGAGCAACTTAAAATGGAACTTCCATGTATCAGAAATAACCAAGAAGGCTGCACCTCGTTTCTATTTCTTGAGACAACTCAAAAGAGCAGCCATTCCAACTAAGGAACTTCTGAAATTTTATACTACCTGTATTCGCCCGATCTTTGAATATGCATGCCCAGTTTATCACAACTCGCTACCCAAGTACCTATCAGATGACATTGAAAGGCTGCAGAAGAGAGCTCTAAGAATAATCTACCCTTGGATGCCTTACACTGATTCCCTCGAAGAAAGCGGTCTGCCTCGCCTCTTCGAACGCAGGCAGCTCTTGACGTGCAAACTGTTTAATGAGATCACTCGAGATCAATCCCACAAACTCAGACCTCTACTACCATCTGAAAATAACTGTTCATACCAACTGAGACGTAAAAGGCAACTTAACGTTCCAAGGGCCAAAACTGATTGGTTTATGAATTCTTTTATTGTTAGTAATTGTAAATATTGTTAATCATTAGGTTTCTTAAATTTTTATAATTGTAAAGTTTTAACACAATTCAGCCATTATCAGCTGTAAAGTCTTTTAAAACTGAATAAATCATCTATCTATCTATCTATC